CGAACTCCCAACTGAAGCGGCTTCTTTTTTTTTTTTTTTAAGGCGTCAAACTTGGTTGTTAAAGAGTTTTCCATGAAACACCCTGTAAATCAAGATCAAGCCCTGACTGGCACATTGCCTCATCCTTCCATTACCTCACTTTCAGCCGCAGCCCACATACCTCTGTGCGGAGCAGCCCTGAGCTGCGAGAAAGGCCCTTGCCTGCTCCCCTCCATGGCTGAGTAGCCTCACATGGTTTTTCAGGGATGGGGTGAAGGGAGGAGATCTGGGCAGGGAGGGAGGAGGTATGGGCAGGGAGCGAGGGAAAATGCCAGTTTAGGATCTCCTGGGTGCTTGCCCCAAGTGTGACATTTAACCTCTCCATGCGCCCAACTCAAAAATCACATCATCCTTCCCAAGAAGTAAACTCAATCCTCACTTCCTCAGCTGATGGGAATCCTGCCTAAGCTTTGCCTTGGAGCTGCTGGAGGGCCAAGTGATAGAGTAAGCCCTGGGGGACCAGGTCATGCTTACACACTGGTAGGTTTTTTGCAGGGAGTGTGTGGCAGAGCCTGGAAGCCACAAACTCCTGGAAGCCCCAAACTCCTGGAAGCCCTTACCCCAGGCCCCAGCCCGCTCCACTGGGCTACTACCTTCTTGCCATGTCCAGGGATTTCTTGCACAAACAGGAGAAAACATAATCCCCTGCCCCAGCAGATTTGGGTCAGCAAACGGGCACGACCAGGCACAAGTGTTGTCTGCACAGAAATCATGTGGCTAAAGGTGAGATACACCACAGGACCCCCCACTCCCAGTTCTCAGCTTGCTGCCGGAGTAATAGATATTTACTGGAGATACATGTTTGCCTCAAAAAGACTAATTTTACCTGCTCAGGTGTCCTGTGGACTAGTAATTTCAGAAGAAGCACACAGCTACATTTGTGTTTGCAGAACAGGGCCTTACCAAACCACATGGCTTGATACATATATAAAACATGCCTTGCAGGCTGGAGAGTCCGGAGACGGATTATTGTAGCCACACCAACAGAAATTTCCGTGTGACTCATAAACAGCCAGATAAGTAATGAACATCTGCTAACAAAGCTCTGAATTGCAGGACTATGGGTCTATTGGAATTGAGTGGGAGATTCCCAAACAGAGCTTTAAAGGTGTATAGCATGGGCTGTGAGATATGTTAATACTTGGAGATTAAGTACTTGGTCTCTCTCTCTGTCTATATATATATATACACACACATGCTAAGTATTTAACAAGTAAAAAGAGCATGAAAAGAAAAACAGAAGAAGGTGACATGACAGGCTGCATGATCCCCATAGCCAGAACTCATTAAATGTGTGTAAATGGAAACTGTCCCTTGGAGTTCACACTGCTGGAATAAAGAAGGTAGAGGAAAACAACATCTCAAACCTTTGCAATTCCCACATTTGTCCTATGGGAAAGCTTTAAACTTAACACCGTGGCTTAATGCTCTCTTTTCAGCCCTGTTTTGGCTTTTCAAAGAGATGCTGTCAGGCTAATCCTCTTACGCTTACCCTTAGCATATTAACATGAAAGAGACAAGTGAAACCCAAAGCAGAGTGAGGTCCCTTTGCCAGCATGCAGAGATTGGTGGCACCATGGCTGCTTATCAGAGCAGCTGCTGTTTTTTTTTTTTTTTTGCTTTTGCCCCTAAATCTGATTGTATACACAGCTGCACTGTTGCCTGTGCCAGGATAAGGCTTCCTGGGCTATAAAAAGAGTACTTTCTTGTGATAGGATTCCAAAATACCTTACAGGGTATGTGCAAAATGTCACTTGTTTCCTAAGAGACTGCAGCCAATATGGTGAAGGAATAAGGCCCTGGGCAGTCTTATTTTGCATCCTCACTCATCTCGTGCCACCTCAGGATGTCTCCATTATTTGCTTTTTATTTCTGCTGCAGTTTCCAGCAGTCACTTGCAAAGGGTGACTGCTCCTAGTCTTCCATTTAGAGGCAGGAGAGATTCTGACACAACAGGAGGATGTAGTAAAATTAAGAATTTTGTGGAAACTCTGCTCTAGTTTGGGTCTGATATCAGACAGGTTTAAAAACTAACAACATGCACCTTCAGACTGTATCTGGGTCTTCCAACAGGAATTATTGTGCTGAGAGACAAAAAGGGCAACAAAAGACCTTCCAGTAATAAACCCCATCCTGGTGCTTACTGTTGTCCAAGCACAACCCGCTCAAACTCTGTGCCATTTTGTCATGCTTGAAACAAAAATCCACCTTTTCCTGCTAAAAAAAAAAGATGAAGTTACAATGAACTACTTGTGTTATCAATTTACAGCAGGGGAAATGAGTAATAATTTGTTTGGTCAAAACTGCAGAGTGATTAATTCTGTAATGCATGAACATCCAGCTGGAGCCATGCCAAGGCACAACGATTAAAAGCAACCAAATTCGTAACTCTAGTGAAAAGGATGCATGGGACATTAATAAAATAAAGGTTTAGTTCTACAGATATAGGTAACAAGGTGAGAACATGCCCTCTCTGAAAGCACTACACACCCAGACACTGGGGAAGCATCTCCCCTTTTTCTCGTCCCTGCTCTGCCTTCCCTGATCAGCTGGACTCTGGCTGCTTGAAAGAGGTAAAAAAAGACTGGAGATTAATTTCTCCTCTGCTGCCTCCAAGACATGGGCTCTTGATCTACTCTCTCCCTACTTACAAGACCCCCTTGTGTACCATCATGGGGGACAGGCAACATCCTGAGCAGTGAGAAGTCACTACAGTCGCTGAAGATGGGAGGCTGAATCTCTTGCAGCATCTGAAAAAAATCTCTCAACACAATGGTTTGTAAGACAGCATTTCTTTATTATCTGTACTGTTTGCACACTAAGAAAACACGCTTAAGGTTGTACATTAAAAGAACCTGGTAGTTCTTGCCATTGCAATATGACAGCACTGATCAAGGTACTACACAGACTGCCTGTATTTGTGTGTCAACTGTAATTTCATGCCTTTGTCTTTGATGTGCTCTGTACAGAGTGTAGGAGGCGCAGGTTCAGAACATTAGCTACTGCTCTCTTCCTTCTGCAGCAGCTTCCCAAATCCTGCTCCTGCAGGTAAGTAACTTAGCATTACGGATGCACCACGACCAAAGACACCAATTCTTGGCCAGCCACTCCATGTTAACCGGCACCTGGAGCTCCCCTAACACAGGTGGTGGGTTCGACCTGTTCAACAGGTGATAATAATGCCTGTGCTCCTTCACGCCTACACTGGTTAGAAAGTCACATCTATGTCCAGATTAGAGGTGTTTTCTGAAAACAGAGATGATTTCCCTTCCCACACATTGTTTCTTGCAAACACAAGGAGTCCCACTGGCAGCACTGCTGGTTTTACTCTAGGCTCCACACTAGCTACCCTGGTTTTGGACCTTTTCTAGCTTTCTGCCTCCTAGTTTCTGGAAGGCATTACTGCAGTTAAACACAATGTGAGCCACAGCCAGCCAACAGTAAGGACTGAGCAGGAGCTTATTACTTTTGGGTATTCGTTTTACTCAGAAATCCTGCTCTTGCAGAGAAAAACTTCCTTTCCTATCTGGAGCAAAGGGCACCAGGAGGAACCATGGAAATTCTTTGTAACACTGGAGGCCTGTAAGTGACTCAGAGCACTTTTCCTGCATGGGATATTCCCAAAGAAATTTGTGCAATAAATAGACATTCAGAGTAACCACCTTATCCCAAGGGAGGAAAGACAGTGGACAAATACAGGCCTTCCCATGCTGCAAGGTTGGGGGGACTGCTTCAAGGCTGCAGGAACACATCTTGTGCCTAAAATGTCGGTCGCATAAACAGCTCAAAGGTGAAAGGGAACAGAGCATTACCAAAAAGGTCACTTAGTCCTACAAGGCTTTAAGAGCAACCGAGCTACAAAGCAGAAAGCATCACACCCCAGAGCACACCAGGTGCTCCATGCCCAGGCACAGCTGCAGCTCTGCCAACAGGCACATGGCTGGGGCCAGTTTCTACCTCAGCCCTCCCCTCCCCTCGCTCTACTTTGCCCCACTCCTGAGCAACAAGAAGGCCCCTTCCCAATGGAAACAGGTTCAGTCCAGCTCTTTCTCAGGCCCTTCACCAGGAAAGTGAGGTTGTTGCACAAGGTCACTGCAAGAGAAAAAGCTGCATTTGACACAAGCAGCTGCCTTGTGCTTCCAGCCCAGGTACATTTGAAAGCACTGCGGGAAAGGCAGTTCCAAGTTGCCGGATATTCTTCAGGAAAAAATAGGAGAATGGGAGGAAACAGGCAGCGTTCAACCTTAAAACAGGCTATATATGGCTCCCCTAGTTTGTACAGCACAGCTCTGGCACTGGGTTATGAATCAGCAACACATGTCAGCACCTGTGAGTCCTAGGGCAACTGCTCTGTGTTCAGTAAACAGTAGGAGAGGGACAGTGACAAGGTCCATTAGGGTAACAATGACATGAAAGCCACTGGGGTGACTCATTCTATCAGTTCATACCATATTCACACATGGAATCAGTTGACTACAATATTGACAAGTCCAACTTAATTTTGGAGTAAATACAGGGCCTTATCCAGATCTTACAGGAAGTGGTGGAAGCGTTCTCACCACAGCAGGATCTCAGCTGGGCGCTACTGTCACAGAGCCAAGAGGAGATGCTGTTCTCTGAGATGGATGGATCACTACTTAAAGAAACTTAAATTTGGGCTAGCACTATCTCTTACACTAAAATTCTACTTAAGACAGCAACCATTGTGTCCTCCACTCTCTGTTGCTAGGCCAGTTCTTTACCAAAGAGAAAAGGAATAAGACTTCATCCCTTTACAGGGAAGCAAACTCTCCAGACAGAAGGCCCACTTTGTCCTATTAGCAAAGACCAGCCAAATTCCCCGAAAGAAGCAGAGGCCTCCAGAGACCAGGGCTGCATGCAGAGTTGGGAAATGAAACAGTGCAGATAATATGCACATTTTGGCCTGATTTAGTGCCTCAAAATTCACAGACTGGGAAAAGCTTCAGCTTCCCCAAATCTCTGGAGAGCTGATACCATCAGATTCAGCTTGCTTGAAAGGAACCCCCAGCTTCATGATACAGTGCTGGCACATGCCTCTTGCTGACACATTGATGTGCCTTATGTGCAGCACCCTTTCCTCCTGCCGATATCTTCCAGCTGCAGGGCATTCTCCCTCTGCCTGTCTTCTTGTGCTGTCAGCAACCTGGAAAGAGCAGCACAGACCAAGAACACAACCTGGTTACTGAGCTCTTCCTGCCAAGGCATTTGCCTCTGCCCTTTGCTCCCCACCAGCCATTTAGGATTGTAAGAAATGACTGGCCAAGAGACCGGACTTCTCTGGAAGTTGGGCTAGGTAAACCACCACACACAGAAAATAAACATGAATTTCCAGGGAACAGGGAAAGAAACTGGACATATATAAGAGGGGACCGCATGGCTTAGTAGTCAGAGCACCAGACCAGGGTGTGAGTGGTCTGTGCCTTATTCCCAAGCTCCCACACTGATTTCAGACTCTTGGGCTGTTTGCTTCACCTGTCTGGGCCATCTTGGGCAGCAGCATGGTAATAAAGCACGCTGAAGGCATGTGCTATGGGAGACACAATTTACCTAGCTGATAAGTAAATCATCCCAGTTAATGAACAATTAGATCCTGCTGTGGATTTAACAGAGATGATGTGCAGGAGGAGGTGAAGGGATAAAAGAAGACAAAAGGATAATTTCCTTGCAAGATTTCAAATACTTTTTTTCCAAAACTATCTTTTTGTAAAAAACCTAAAAATCTTAGAGCAAACTTCTTTCAGCCTAACAAAGTGTCTTATCTCCCTTTAAAACTATTGCCACAAAAATAGCACAGTCAGTACAATGTTTAGTAAGATAGGGAAGAAAAAACCCTTAGAGCTGCATGCAGACTTCCAAAATACCAACTTAAAATCTATAATAGTACACAAGGTTTTTGTGGTGCAATATTCAAATTAAACTCCCAATCTTGCAACAGCCAGCTCTACCAGATGAAATTTTGTGTGTGAAAGTGTCCAGTCTACAATTGGTGCTCTCCAGGCACAGAAGACAATGACCCAGAGTCAGGAAGTCAGGTCTTTTTTGCGACATGGCAGAAAGTCAGTCTCTGACACGCCCCTCTTCTTGGCCATTCCCCAGGAGAGCCCACACCAGTCACCTATAGTGGGGAAAATGTCCCAGGGTGACTTCCTGTTCACTGACCTGGCCATGTGCAGCATGGGCTCCATGATGTTATAGCCAGTCATCGCACTGCACTCATAGAAGACAGCCTTGTATTCCTGCCAGAGAGCACAGCAAGCACCCATGTTGGCTGCCACCTTTCCACCACCATTCATTCACATCCTTGGGAGCTAGTCCACCCCCACCACCAGGAACTCTTCCAAGATCATTTGGGGCCAGGAGAGTGGCTGTTATCACCCCCTCACCAGCCTAGAAAAAGGAGATGCTTTTCCAGCATTGGGGGCCCAGACAGAGCATCCACAAGGGAGCATTGGAGAAGTTGTTCGGGAAGAGAATATATCTGCTCAGGGTACTTTAATTCCCTTACCTTTGTGTTGCAGAGTTCAGAAGATAGGGAACACCTTTGAAACCACTTTCAGCCTCCCCCCACCCAGGGGCCAAAGTCCCAGCAAGTATGCAGACAAGGGATTGAGGGAAAAGGCAGGATGATATTACAGTAAGGAGTCCTCAGATGGGAAAACAGCCATGCAAGTTTTCCTCAGAAAGACTATAAGGAGGCATTAAGCCTCAAGAGAAATAAATGAGCCTGCCTCAAGGGCCATTGTGTGCCACATAAGAGCCACCATCTCATCCTGCCTGGTACCAGAGGGACCTTGGTACATGTTTATATTGGAGAAACAGGGGGTGAGGGAGAGCAGCAAGGTACCATACTGGAAAATGGCTCCAAGAAGGGTTTTCTGCCAGCCAGGCTGCCCTGCTAACAGCTGAAGGGGGGGCTGCAGAGCAGGTCAAGCAGCAGAGCAGAGAGTCACACCTTTGCCAGCCTTTCCCCCTCCACCTTGGGCACATTCCGGGTCTCTCTCTGCACAGCATCCATTTTATTTCCAAGCAGAAAGACCACAGCTCCATCCTCGATACCTTCCTGCAAAGGAAACAGAGTAAAGGACCCTGGAAACTCAGCTGAAGGAGGGAAGTAACTCAGAGCAGATCCTTCCAGTTCATGCAAACAAGACCTTCAGCAGCACGATTGGGCCCTTTAGCTCAATAAAGGGCCATTCTTTCAGTAGCCCCAGGGATTTATGGAAGAAAGCTTAAGCTACTGGAATGTATTCCAAATCTTTGTCATGTTCAGCTGGGATGCTGAGAGAGGGGAGACAGGACATAAGTTCCTCTCAGGGAAATAACAAGCCTAAGGAAAAGCAGCTTGCCCCATAGGCTGCTGGGAATTTGAGATCAGGCAGAGCTTCTTAATAAGTTCAATAATTTTTGTGTGTATGTGTGGTACTATTCCTCTGATGTGCTGTCCTCAACTCAGTGATCCCTTGCTAAAAATTCACTGGCCAAGCAAGATAAGCAACTTTCAACTCGTACACTGTCTCTGTAGGGATTGTTTATTCTTGGAACCCTTTACATCTGGTAAAACTCCCTCAGGTTCCACTGGCTCACTAGAACATTGCCAGAGTAGGAATAGGGCTTAAAGTTATTTCCAAACTTGAGTGCCCTGGATGACATAATACAGTACCTGAACAGCTTCAAAACAAGATAAGTACACAGATGGGCAGAGGAAAAGAAGAGAGATATTACAAGTTACATATTTTGCCTGCTTTGATTTTCTGTGTGCTCAGTTTAACCTTCCTGAAAGAAGCCTGATTTTCAGAGGCTGGTTTAGTTTTGAAAATCTTAACCTTTGATCTTTTAGAGTTCAAAGAAATATCTGAGCGGTTGTTTGTTTGTTTTTCCCAACAAGCCTGTGGAAGTTAATAATATTAGAAACCTCCATCCTATGCTTATTCATTTCACAAGCATCTTGTTTTATTTTGAGACTCAGTATAATCACAACAAAACCACCTTTCACAATTCCCATTCAACATCTTGATCATCTACACCCAAGTTATTTAAATTATATAGATGGGTATTTTTGTCTCCCCAAGGAGATACAAGCCACAGATGAACGCTTTTTTTGAGAGTTTGGAAATAAAAGGCAGGAGGGCAAGTTACAATGTTAATACACAGTTACCAAATAAAGAAAAAAATAGAAAAGGAAAAAATTACCAATTGTTAAAGTTGGAGCAAATGAGAGAAACCAAAAAAGCTATTCCTAATAATGCAGTCCCATCTAGAAATATCCAAACAGAGTCAGGATGTGACCATACAAAGTGCTGTGCTGCAGGTCTGAGCCTAAATGCATCAGGGCTGTCTCCCTTTCCTGTGCATAGGCTGGACACCAGGACATCTCCTTACCTGAGCACAGGTGTGATGTGACCATGTTTAGGAGATGTTGCCAATGCACATGGGCTGCTTACAAACGCAGACTACTGTTGTGGCAGGTCCCACCACATTCTGCCACAGAAACAGCCCTCCTTCACTCAGTGGCCTACACTGGCTTTGGTATCTTCAGCACAAAGCCCCTGGTCCCAGCCTGACTCCCACAGGCAGCACCCACAGCATCTGCTTTGATAATTCAACTCCACAGGGTCAGTAGGACCTCCTGGGGCGCTGGGGAATGTCGCTCCCAGACAGACTGTTGGAGCTGGTCTGGAGCAAGGCAGTGGCAGCACCACGAGCTTGGATAGCCGCGGTCCCGCTCTCACCTGGATGCTGCTCATCCAGTTCCGCACGGCCATGAAGGAGCACTCGGCTGTCATGTCGTACATCACCAGAATCCCATCTGCCTTCCGGAAATACTGCTTGGTAATACTCCGAAACCTGAGCCCAAACAAAACCAAAGGCACTCTCAGAACCACGGCCGTGTAATGACAAGAAACAGAGTGGGATTATCTGTCTTTCAGCGCAGGCCCTTTGCAAGGCCTGGCAGCCCCCGTGCGTGTCCCCTGGGGCTGGTGTGTACACCCTGGCGACAGGTCAGATCCTTGCACTCCTGAGGCAGGCCAGGCAGCCAAGGGTAAGCAGGAGTCTTTCCAAATGCATGGTGCTGAGAAAGCAGGAAGGAAGACCTTTGCAGGTGAGGAAGAAAGAAACAAGAATCTGCTTAGGAGGGATAGGAAAAGGAAATTGCCTATGAAAAGGGAAAGTGCTGGACAAAACATGATCTTTCTCTAGAGTCTGTAAGAATCTGCAGACTAAGCTGTACCACAGTACAAACTAGGCATGCATAATGTCTGCCCCAGTGCTGCCAAAACAGCAATTAAGATCTCAGCATCAACAGAGTCTGTTTACAGTCTTGAATCTATAAATCAATGCCATCATAAATAAAAAATCAGGAGTTAGACATAATTTCCAGGAAAAACTCCCACCAGACATCTACTGTGTCCTCTCCGTACCAATTAAAACCACAGGCTTGTATTTTTTGAATAAATTAAAAAAACAAAACCAAACAACCCCCCCCCCAAAACCCAAAAAACTAAAACAAACAAAACCAAAACAAAAAACCCAAAACAAAACCAAAAAAACCAAACCAAAACAAAAAAAACTGAAAAAAAAACCCAACCCAAAAAAACCACCAAAACCAACAACCAAACCAACCAAACAAAAAAACCCAAAAACCAAACTCAAACCTTAAAAATCTGTAAGCAGTTTGTGACAGAGCCATGATATAACCACAGATTGCAAACTGATGGAGTTAAATGTAACACAAGTACTGAAATCTCACTGGAAAGCTGTATATTTCAGCCCTGCACAGGATAGCAAACTCTACTATTCTATTACGAGCCAAGAAAACCTACAGCAAGATGTGAACCTCATGAACTCTTCAGATGATTGCCTGGAGCCTGTTCTTTCTCATTGCAATAAGGGCATGACATTCTGGCAACTACCCAACTGAGAAAGCACAGACTGTGTCTTTGGCAGTCAAGGTGCATCTCTGGAACTGCCAGACAGACCAGATGCTCCAGAAAAAACATCAAAAGGTAGCATGCACCTTTCTCCAGAAGCAGTAAAAGCTTTTGCTTCTTCCCATGTCTTCTAATTGGTATCAGGACTGAACCAAGTTCTCTCTTTCAAGCACACATCTAAGACCTGCTAATGCTAAAGATCCTTCTGCAGACAATCTCTTGAATTTGATGCAATCTGGCCCCAGTAGAATGTCACATTTTATGTCATAACTCCCCTTACTGCTGAGTTTCAGCACTGAAATATCCACAGGAGTCCTTTCAGAAATCATTATTTCTTTAGCATGAAGCTTGATTTTGGAAGAGAGAGTTGCTTTTCGACAACATACTCCTACTTAGTACATTCCCACCAGGTCTGCATGGTGACTGAGCAGACAGCGTCATTGGCATCGTTTAGGATTATAATATTCCCATGATCTCAGCTGCCTCCTGAAGGCCTGCCCCCATAACATATTTAGCCCTAAATATCCAGTACTTATTTTTGTCTGGCCCTTGAGGTTCATGGTCCCCTTGAAATAGCTTTGCATCTTAAGCTTCAAAGTGTATCCCAAGTAAAATGTGATTTACATGAAGGTAGTGATGGGCTTTCATCTCTAGTAGCAGATGAGGGTCAAGTGTGTCCTCTACTACTCTGATCCTCACCAACAGTGCTGATAACATCTAGAGATGGCCCATGCTTTCGAAACTAGAGGCCTTCAATTGGGAACCTGTGTTCACTGTCACAAAAAGCTGCACAGTCCCTCTACCAAGGATTATCGCTTCCACAAGTCTATCAGCAAAAAGGGACAGTGGGAGGGGCCAATAACCTCACTGACAGAGTCCAGCAGGGTAGTTCAAATCACCTTCCCCACAGGTCAAACTAATGCAGCTGGCTTTGACAACTGAATCCGACCTGGAAAGGTTCACACAGTCCTTCCCACCCCCTGAATAGCAGGTGGTGGTGAGCAGCTGGGGACAGGAGTAGCACAGCCGAATCTGAGAAAAGAATGTCTATCCAGAGCCTTAGTTTCTATCCTAACCTGCAGCCCTGTCCTGCAGCTTTTCCCAGAAGTAGGCTGATGCGGGAGAGCTTTGAGGGTTGGAGGAGCTTTGCACCTCACACCATACAGTGATCTATGGACAGACTACCTGGAGCCACAAGCATGCACATCAGACATATGGAAAACTACTTTTCTGTCAACCCTGAGAGAGATCTCCCCAGGCTCTGCTTCACAGCCAAAGCTTCTAGAAATCTCTTGAAAGAGGCCTTTGCTGCAGGTTCAGCACTGGAATAGCTGCTGTGACCTCTCTGGTCCTTCTGAAGCTAATAGTTTTCCCAGGGGTAGAAACCAGCTGCATGCACTTTCCCTTTCCTACAATGAGTCTGGCAGTAGGGCACCCTCACAGAAATTACTTACCTTTCTTGTCCGGCTGTATCCCACAGCTGCAAGGCAACCTGGGTGTTATCCACCATTAAACTCTTCACCTGGTAATCAATACCTGTCAGGAAAGTAACAATGATCATAAGGTAGGAGAGGGAGAAAGCCGCTTGCCATTACAGTGGCCAGGGATCAGCTCTGTTTAGTTCAGGGAAATTGCAAGATTGATTCAATACTGGGAGAGGGACCATCTTGACCTTTAGTTGGGCTGTAATACAGGCAAAAAAGCATTTGTCCAGGCTGACTTTCCCACCCTTCTTATCCAGATGAGTCAGGGACCCTATTACTTACCGATGGTTGCATTGAGCTCAGCCAAGAACCTGTCATAGCAGAAGCGGTGGATGAAGGAACTCTTCCCAACACCAGAGTTCCCTACAAACACCACTTTAAAGATGCGATCTGGGGAACAGCTGGCTGGTTCCAGTGCCTGGAGCTACAATGGAAGAAAGGGACTCAGTTTTGAAAAGCCTAGCTGCAGGCTGTGCTTTCTTTGTGCAGGCATTGGGCCCCTGCACTATAAACCTATGGAGCTGGAGTTAGATGGGAAGAGAGTCAGAAACCCTCAAGTCCCTGGTAGCAGGTGTTTGAGGAAGAACCCCAAGTGACTACACTCACCCTGGTTTCAGTGCCAACAGGCTGTGCTCTAGGAGGCAGCGGAGCAGCATCTAAGCCATCTGCTTTTTTTCTGCAGTCAGTGTCACCCTTCAAAGTCATCTTAAACCACTCAGTATCTGCTGCCAAGGGCCATCTCTCCTTGTCTCTAGGGTTGTCTCCAAAGTTTGTGCTTTCTCCTTCTCCTGTCTTCATCCATGTCCCATTGCCTGGGAAGTATTTACAGTTCTTTCTGTTGGGTTCTTCCACTGCCACATCCGCTGGGAAGGTGAAGGGAAGGTCCGCAGAGGCCAGTTGTCTGTATTAAAGCTCAGAAGCATCACAGGCAGGGTGGGAGGGTAGGGAGTGAGGAGATAGGGAAGAGGAGGAGGTTGCAAATTCCCAAAACAACCAGCACAATCCAATTAGTGCATATGCAGTGCTTGCAGGAACTCTACTTCATACATACACTCCCCACACTCCCCGTGACTAAGTCATCAGAGGCACCCCTAAGGAAAAAGAGACAGCTCACCTGAGCTGTGCTGCACTCATATGTGCCAACAAATTTTTCATTGGTTTTAATAAAAATTGCCAGCTTCTGGATTTTTTTTGAAGAATTCTTTGCCTCCCATTTCCCCCAGTACTGAAAAATGAGGCAAAACATACAAAGGTGGCAAAAAGAGAACCTTAAAAAAAAAGGTGTCAAAAAATACCTCACTATTTTTCTTACAAAACACAATACAAAGAAGTAACAAAGGTTTTGAGGTTAGTGAAGAGGGTTTTGCCTGCAGGCAGCGGCGCGAGGGCTGTCTGATATCCCAGGGAGGCTGCATGCAGTGTGCCCTCTGCTGCAGGCACACAGTCCTGCTCCAGGGAACCTGCCCAGCACTCCCGAACACTGCTGTCCCAGAGTCTTACTGAGTTCAGGCAGCAGAAACCTGCCACAGATGTGCAAATTGCAGTGAACATTCTCACACAGGTGAGAGTCACTTTGTCTGGTGTTGGCTCTGTTCTGGCCTGTATCTATATCTGGCCAAGGTATGGGAGCCGGGACCTGAAGATGTTTCTTTTTAAAGCTTCTAACCAGCCACACTGGCTCTGAATGGCAACAAATGCCCAGGAACCCTGTCCAAGCTGTGGTACTTGGGAATAGGTGTTGCACAGACTGTGCCCACACAAGAGCAGGGTGATGCACTTTGCTCTGCAGGGGGCAGAACTGACATGGTAAGGGGAGGAACAAAAAGCCAAAGGGAGTGAGAACACTTAAAACTCAACCGAAGGGCTTTATCCACCACACACATCTCCATTGCCTTTGCTGGCCAGCAGATTGCATTTGGAAGCAAATTAGAGCTTACTACAGTCAGTCTCTTCAGAGGCAGTACATTCCACCTCACTTTGCAACATTTTTCTCTTGCTACTAGTGCAGGAATCAAGACAACTCTCCTTTCTCAATCCTACAAGTACACCTTATCCGGGTTGAAAAATTCCCCTGCTGCCATGCCTACACTTCCATGAAAGGGAGCTCACATTCCTGGTTGTCCTCCCTACATCTGCCCTGAATGCCAGTCTAGAGCCAGGCCAGCTGGAACCTCTCCCCCTGAAAATCAACACATACTCCCAGACTCAGGCTCTGAGGAACAGCCCCCAGCTCCCAAGGCTGGCACAAGTCACGAAATGAGGGGCTGAGATTCAAGAGCCTCTTTGCGGGGGAAGGAGGGGGTGGGTAAGGAGAGTAAGGTAAGGGACAAACACAAAACCTTCTGAATAGTGACTCCAGATCTCACTGGTTTTATTCATGTTTCTCAAGCAATGTGGTGTGACACAGCACTGGGACAGACACAGGGCCAACAACTACTTCTCCCCTTCTCACATCACCCTTACTGCCAGACTTCTCCACCTGTTAAGCCTTTTCAGTGGGTTTATGCCAGCAGCAGCTAGAAGGATCTCTGCAAGAAATACTTGGGGAGGAAGACGGGGGAACTTGGTAGTCTGATTTGATGGATAGCATGTGTGCCAGTCACGCAGCCACAAAAGAGCTCTGCCTCAAACCTGTCCAAGCAATCTCCCTTCCTGGGCTCAAGTCAGCCCTGCTCCACAATCCACCTGGTTTTCCACCAGTCCATGAGCTAAGGAGCCTGGAGCTCAATGCCACTACCAGAATTACAGACATTAAGTGTGGGTTGAAGCTGGAAGAAACTCTGAGCCTAAACCCATGTCTCTGGTTGGCACTAGGAGGAACCGGGGAGCAATGGAACCCCCTGCAGAGACCTGGTAAGAGACAGGGAAGAAGTGTGCTGCCTTTAAAACTTGTTTGGGGCCAGCAGTTGCAGGTGAGATCCAGCTCCAAGCCAAGTCAGGGCTGGGCTGGCCTCCCCTGCCTCCCAGAGGAACCAGGCTTTTGGCCAATACCAGTGTGCTGGTCACACAACTAGTTCACAAGGGCTGATGCTAAACGCCAGCATGGTTCAGGCAAGCATACGTGGGTATTGAAGGAACTGCACAGTCTGCTTGTATGGGGGGGGGGGAAGAAAAGGCCTTGACCACACAGACATGTTGCCTGCCCTGCCTGAAGGGAGGACTGGTGTGCCAGCTGAGCTTCTGCATAGGTGTACAGGGAGATGGGCAAGATGAACACACCTGGAACTGGGCCCTCACCTTGGGGCCTTCACCTGCCAGAAAGAATCCAAGCCTAGTGAAAGTCCTGCCCTCTCCCATGCCCCAGGGATATGGGCTCTGGCATGAGGCACCAGTGGACAGGATTTCTGCCTGAGGAGGAACTGGCACACTTGGAAGTTGATCCAGTCATTTCAACACAGCTGCCTGACTCGGTTAGAGGCAGCCTTTGTGACTCCCTTCCCATGAACAGTCCCAAACCTTCTGATGGCACTTAGGTTTGCTCCCCCATTGCTGCAGTTAAAAGCAGCAGGGCAGCTGCCTCCCCATGGAAGTTAGCTAATGGTATCTCAGCTTCATGCTGAGCCAACACTACCTGATGCCAAGAGGCAGCTCGAGCCATAGAAAAGCTGCATCCCTCCGTGCTCCCAAAACCAGCCAGCACCAAGGTGGGAGAACTAGACACAGGGCACAGTTTGACTGACAGGCTACTCCAGTGGGCATAGACTGACACCATGAACACAACACAGACACCCATCTAACCGTTTGACTGGCTTGTCGTCCAGCAGGTAACTGCCTAGCACTGAGCCTTTCTTCAACAGGGGCTTTTTGTTCTGAGGCACCTGGAAGTTGAAAAGAGAAGGAATGAAGAATGTGATTACGAGCCAGGAACCTGATCAGCCCCCGTTCAACCACTCACCACCTCTGCAGAGCACTTTGGGGAGGCAAGGCTGGAGCCCTTGCAGCCCCACACCATGCAATGGTAGTGTCCCACTGGAAGGTTCAAACAGAGGTGAGCGCTGGGTGTGCTTTCTTTATTTTGGATAATTTAATTCGTGCAAGAAGCCATCACTGTTGCTGCTTTCTCCTTCACAACATAATTCATCAAAAGTAATAATGTTCCAAACTGAATTCTTTCTCTAGCCAGAGTTTTTATTTCTGCGGTTGTTCTCCACTTGGTCTCACAGTTGAATCTCTCTTCCCCCACCTCCCTCTTTATTATGGTGATGTTTTGTGGGACAGGCCAATTGCCCCCTCCTGAGAAGACACTAATTCCCCTCTTCCACCAGTGCTCGCCCAAAGCTGCACATGAACCACAGGAAAGGAAGGAAACCATTGCAAAGGGCAATGCACATGCTTTGCCTTACATGAATATCCCTCTCCATGCTTTCCTCCAACTTACCTCAGACTGTACACTTCCTACAGCCAGTATTCACTAGCTCCCCAGAGAAGGAGAAAGCAGGACCACTTCTCTCACAACCCTCTTCCCCCCATACAGCAGCTTTGCCTTCCCAGTGGAGTCAAAGATGAGGAGCTGGCTTGCAATCACACAGCAAAGCCTGTGGCAGAGAGGATTGACCTGCAAATCTTCCAAAAGCCATGCTAAAGCCTAGTCCCCACCCCATCCCAAACAGACTAGCTCACTGTTCTGGCCACACACATAGAACACTGAAACAGCACAGCAAGGTGCCCATTGCATCGGCACTGGAAGAAAGGGCCAGTCTGCAAGTCTGGAGATCTCTAATGGGCCCTCACAAATTATTTCTGGGAGTAAAGGTGTGGAAAGAAGGGTTTGCAGCCTGCCAGATCTGCCTCTCACAGCAGTTTTGAACTGACCAAACACCTGCAGGCAGCTCTGGACAGGCCTTTCTTTGTACTGCCCACAGCCCTGGGGGAGGACTATGAAGATTATTTCTTCAGTAACCCTTACTGAAGGCTTATTTTAAGAGGCAAAAAAATTAAGAAGCTGTTCTGTTGGCCAGAACTCCCAGAATACCTTTACTGCAACGCAGTTGAACAAAAGCAGACACTCTGGACTCCACAGAGGACCTCACCCAATTAGGAACTTTAGGGGGAAGGGAGGGGAACAAAACATTTTTTACATGTAAAACATGTTCAAGAAAAGCTCCAGCCACAGAAACAATCCAGCACTGAGAGGGTAACAACTGTGGAGCACAAATCTTCCAAGGCAAAGGACCCCCAAAAGCATAGCATCACTTCAGTCATCACAGCCAGACTGTGTTTCAGACAACCAGTGGTTCTCCAGCAGGGATGGAGGAGGAAGTTTTCAGTGTTTGAGCAGGTTCCCTCAAGGGCACCCTCTAGCTACACAAAGGACAACACTGTGTTGCAGGCCAGTGGAGCAGCCGCAACCTTCAAGTCACCTATGGGGCAAAAGGACTCTCACACAATGTGCTATGACACAACCCTACCTGGAGAGGAAACAGCTTGCAAAGCACATACTTGGGTAAGAAAGGAGAAACAATGGGGCAGGTTCTGCCATTGGTTCTGCCATGCTTTATTGGCCTGCCAGGTTTGTGCAACATTTGGCTTTTCTCCAGGATGGTAAAGGGACAAGACAACATCACAGCTGTATAACACACGATGGCAAGGATTTCACAACAGCACATGTACAAGCATTTTGGATGGGAAAGATTCTGGTTTATCAGTGAAATACAAATACATGTCCAATGTAGTTTAAGTACCAAAACACTCGTCATGATGAGCAGACATGAAATTTGCTCTGTCAACACGCAGCATGCAAGCGTAACTCCACAGCCAGATGGGTCATGGGTGTGAAACTAAACCTGCAATCCCTGGGTTTTAAAAACATCCATCAGTGGTTTGCACATAGGCAGAAACAGCCAGTTTGTGACCCAGACACTGGGACAAGAGAGCGCCCCACAGTGACGTGGGGCCAGGCCCTGCCCACCCTGGCAAGGCCAGAAACTCTTATGAAGAGCAAGGTATTAAGCTGGGCACTGAGAAGAGCAAAGGAGCAGTGACTGGGTTGCTGTTACCCATGAACAGCCTGATCCCTCCTTCCAACCACTTCAAAATTTTTGCTATGAAAGAAATTCTGTTCATCACACCTTCACTTCATGGAAATAACACAACTCTTCCCAGCACTAACAGAGGGTATTAAGGCCTTGGGTTTCTTTTCGGCCTGTAAAAGCAATGATAGTCTCCGGCAGAGAGTGTCTTGCACAGTAGGGATCCCCATCAGAACTCTCCTTTTTGCTGCTGTAGGGCAGTATTGATATTTTCTCTCTCCCTTACAGTGTGACAGGCTGGACAGCAGATCTTCTGCAGGTGTGTGATGACAGCAGCACCTCTGCAATCCCTTGGAGCCCTGCTTTCCTGCGGACTGAAACGAGAGTGGCCAGAGGAAGAAAACAGGCTTCAACTGCCCAGCATGACATAGACTTGACAGATAAGCAATGGTGGTAGGAGGAGTTCACCCTGCTGCCTCATTCCCTACTGCCAGTGGCAGGAGAAGGGACAGAGCGGCTCCTCTGTGCTTTGACTCTCTCTGTTAGGCTCTGTCTTGGCTCTGCCTGCAACTGCCATGTTTCAGAGCAGCCCCCAGCAGGACCTAGCAGGGGAACGGGAGAAGAGAATAGAGGAGAAGCAGACAAGCTTTGTACACACAGAGGTACATACCTGAGCCGTGGTCTCCACAGGCCACCCACCCCACCCACAGGAACCCAGAAGCTGATGAGGCACAACACATGGAAAGAGGAGATGAAACCATTTTCTTTGCCTGCTTGCCCTGGACTCTGCTACAGAGTGACAGTGTTTATTGCTTCTCCAAGAGGGAGCAGGAAGCTGTGGTGCACATACACAAAGCTAGCAGCTTTAAAAATGGAGATTAAAAAAAAACTTTCAGCTTTCAGAAACACACACACACACACACACAAAGGCATATGCACACATCTCGTCTCCATCCAAAAGAGTTACTGACGTTATTTTATACAGCTCTCCACCTGGAGAAGAATTCGAGCCTCTCTCCCAGCAGGGCATTCCACTCCCTATCTGAGCACAGTCCCTATGCTTCCTTCCACATTCCCTTACAAATCAGACAGAAAGGCTCTCGCAGCCTACCACTGCTTGTCCTCACTCCAAGGCATCTATGTCCAGATCTTCAAGTGGGGCATGGTGGCAGAGCAGGCAAAGACACATGGTGGCAGGGATGGGTTTAAGAGGACATAGCAGCCTTGCCAGGGACATTAGGGAATGCAAAGACGGTTTCATGGAAAAACAGTAAGAATTAAAAATAGACCCCATATTTGTGCTTATCGGGGAAAGGCCAGAGATTGACTGTTCCAGATGTCAGAGGCCCTACTTTATCCTAGCCTTCTGACTTAAGGCTCACTGCTGCACCTCCACCCTGCAGAGTTCACAGGAATGGGGAGCTGCCCCAGAGGAACATCTGAAAACATCTGCTACAAACCTAAGGGGTCAGAAAAACTCCAAAACCTTCCTGTGTGCCCCTCCACACCCAGTCAGCCAGCAGCACATCTGGGAATCCATCTTCTTCCTCACCACCCAGCTCCAGGGACGCATCCAGCTTTACTCCCCTCCTTGCCTGTCACAACACACAGACCCCACGTGTGCAGCAGGCAGCACCCCCTGCAGCCCTGCACAGGGCTGTGTGACAGTCACAAGCCAACATGCCTGGGGTTAAACTCGGGCACTTGGCAACAGCAACCAGCAGTGCTTGTCTCCAGCACGGACACAGAGGTGCTGTGAAGTCTGTATTAGGCAGCACACCAGGCCCTGTGAGCTCAGGTCATTGTCCCCCGTGGAAGTGACAGGCCCCCAAGTGATGACAGCAACAGCAGCAGATGAAAAGAGGGTGGTTGGGAATTGGGATTTTCTTTCTTAGACTAACCAGCTTCTTGGCTTCAAAAGCGTCTCGCTCATCTCGAAGTTTCTTGTTCATCTCTCTGCTCCAAAGGAAGACATAGGAAAGACATAATGAGGCACTTGTCCAAAATAGGATAAAGAGAACATTTGAAAGTGAGAACAGAAAGGCAGTTTGAGGCAAAGATGCTATTTAAGGCCAGACATGTTGGGATTTCCGTGTATCCCAGCTCAGGTAATGGGCACCACATGTTTTTTTTAACCAGCGGGAAAGAGTAAATTCCTCCAGAGGAGGGATTACCTCGTGAAATAACAGAGTCTGTAATCTGCCAGAGCTGGTCAGATTGCACAGCTCTGTCTGGACCTAGAAAAACAAGCAGAGTCTGAGCACTGCTTAAATACAATCCTGTAGCTTTCCATGGGAGAAATGAGCACAGTGCTGAAACCTCAGCCCCTTACATACGTAAGAGCTCAGCATTTCCCTCCAGCCTTGCTCTTACCTGAGGAGCTCCAGCTGGCGAAGGAGGCTTTGTTTCTCTTTCTGCATGTTCTTGGAGACTCTAAACACATCCCTGGGTGAAAGGGATTTTAAAAGGGGAAATAAATTAACGGGAGAGAAAATACAAAGATCCCTTTCTCAGGGGCACTCATGGTATTCTCAAAGATAAAGGCCTGCCTTATGCTAGGAAGATTCAGAGGAAGCAGCACTGCTGTGGGAGCTGGGATGGCTGGGTTGAACCACAGCTCTCCTGCTCTCCTCTAGCCTGAGGGTAGGCAACCCATCTTCTCCATTTCCTCAGCTGCTAGAGATGGGGAGGATGATCACTGTCATCTGGATTTGAAACATCCCAATGTTTTATCTATGTATTATTAGATTTAACCCAGTAATGGGAACAGAAGTGATTAGAACAGTATCTTTAAAGAGAGCACTATAGAGGTGATGGTGAACTGGAAAATACATGGAGAAGACGACTTCTTTAGGCTGAGGCTGTACTTTTGCACTGATTTTCTAGCCAAATATCAATGAATATATTCATTTCCCGCTAAAGGTAGGCATAAGATAGCAGTATCACTCCCTGTTTAGGCCCATAAGACCATTGGGATGTTTCTTCTTTTCCTCAAGAAGAGACAGGCAATCCTCTAATAAGACCAAGGCTCCTAATTAGAGATCATTATTCTTTAACTGCTTGCCCACCCTTCCTTCTCTGTCTGTGTCCTTGCCCTGACACCCCCTTTCCTGTCCTTTCCCACCTGTCCTTCTGCTCTTGCTCAAGCTGAGCCTCTTTCTGAAGCTTCTGTAATTGCCCCTTCACCGCCTCCAGCTCCCATTTGCTTTTCTCCAGCTCTTCCAGCAGGTTTTCATTCAGGTGCCGGAGCCTTTCATTCTGCACCCGGGTCTCCAGCTGCTCTGAGTTCAGTGACTGCAGCTGATGTTCCAGCTGCAATGTGAGAGGAGGAGGAGGGATTAAACACAGAGAAGAAGGGTCTTGTGCTACAGTGATGCCTGTAAAAACAACCTGAAAAAGCAGATGTAAACAAGGCAGAAGGGGGTAAACACAACTTAGGTCTGCAGGACCACTAGTGGCATTGAGAAGGTGAACTGGAAGGAATTCTTTCTCATTATGCCAGCACAGGGGAGCAAGCAATACAATTAGGCACAGCTGAGGAAGTGCTTCAGACAGCATGAGGAGCCTGCTGCTGTCAGGCACTGTAGAAATCAGAGCACAAATGAGGGTCAAAGGAGGACTGGAAAAATTTGGGCGGAAGCAGGAATGTGTCTTGGGACCTATTAAGCACAGTTGTTGAAATGCATCTTCTGCTTTAGGGGCTTCCTGAGCCCACGGCAGCTGAAAGGGGGATATATCGAGGTGCAGGGGGCATCTCACACTACACCTGGAAAGTCAAGTGATCAGGTGGCCTTTACTACTGCTGGAGACAGATATACTGTTTAAATGCCACTGGGACACAGCTGCACTGGAGACAGCACAAGCCCCCAGCACAACTAACAAGCCTGATTTGGGAAGCTGAAAGCCTGCTGTCACATACTCAAGCATACTCAGTGACTCAATTCCTCACACATGGCTGGCATAGTCTGGGAAGGAGTCACAGACAGATGCAGCAGTCAAACCTGCCCATCTCAGATGACAAGTAGGGCGCTGCAAGAAGGATCATACGGACACTTCAGTATCTGGCCAGCCAGACCAGCTAACCAGGGCCCTCTGCTGAAGCTGGTGCTACACAGAAACTGCGGCACCATCTGAGAGCTTACTGCCCAAAATAAAAGCATACAGTCCATGCTTACAGACAGAGAGAAGCGCCAGGAATCAGGTCTGATCAGGGTAGCAGGTGGCAGAGTCAGCCTCCACATTTACACCTTCAGCTTGCCTTTTCTCTCAGCCTCATTTCTCCCCCTCTCAAAGGAAAAATAAAGCAGCACAGCTACCCTGCTCTCTGCCAGCACATGTGAACAACAGTCATGAGCGGGAACGAACAGAGCTGACCTTTCCTAGGTTCCCTGAAACACAAACCCTACATCTCTTCCCACTGAGGCTACAAGGGCAAGTCACACCCAGCTTTGCCTGGAGACCTCTAGTCTTTGGACACTGGGGAAAATTTCAGCATGACCATATATGCTGAGCAGTGGAGTTTAGACTAAGAAACCCCTGCTTACAGCCTTTCAAACTTTCAATAAGCCAAGGGACAGGCTTTAAGTAAAGCACAACTGCCCCTCCCTAAGAAATCTCCATCACATAAAACTCTCCTGTTTATGTTGCCTGTACCTGGACGTGATACTGTAGAATAGCACAATCACACTACTGGTCTTACACCACAAGAGGGACCCGATTACCCACACAGCTCAGAGTTAAGGGCATCAGAAACGACAATTTGAGTAACAATGTCTATGCAGCCCAAGTATTCTGCCTTGACCATAGCAAGACGAGATGATACCTAGGAAGAGCATGCCCGGGCTCCTAACTATGGTCCATTCCCCTCATACGCCCCCAGCATCCATGGTCCCTGCACTAGGGATGTTAGAGGCCACATCTCTGACTATTCCTCCTTTTACCAAACATTTACAAGCCTATCGTACAATTGTTTGTCCAATTAATTTTTGAACTGCCAATACTCCCTGCCCCCTATGGCCAAAAGTCCAGCACTAATCTCTGTGTAAGGAAGTATGGTCTTCTAAATCAAATTCATACTGGTCTCACTGAGTGTCCCTCCTCTCTTCTGTTGCAGGACTCAGGGAATAGCAGTTTTATGTGGACCTTATCTGTCACTTTCCCGAGTTCATAAAGCTCACTTGTATCTTCCCTCAGTCCCCTTCTCTCCAAAATCAAGTCTAAGCTTTCCCAGTTTCCCTTCCTAAGGCAGATGCTCCATTTCCATAGTAATGTTAGCTCTCTGTATCTTCATACCCAAGGACACAGTGGAATTAGAGAAGACCAGAACTGCACTCACCAAATGAGGCACTCAAAGATGTGGGCAGCAAGAAAAATACATGCACATTATCTTATTCTTGATATCCTTCCTGATGGCACCTCAGTTTTGCTGCCTTTTCCAGCTGCTGTACAGTGAACTGATGTTTTCAGAGAAGTGCTGTTTCATCCACATCACAGATATGTACCCAACTTGGATACCCCCAGTCACCAGCATCTTACAGGTACCTGCCATGACTTGTTTCTGTGGGGGCCACGGAGCAATTCTTCAGACACCAAGGAAGAAGGCATTCAGAATGGCCCATCACATACAAATGTCCATGCCACGGATGGCAGGCTAAAGGAAAGTCTGTGCTTAGATCTTTTATGTGACTGATTAATCAGTATATCAAGTGCCCAAATGCAAATTCACAATATGTACCTCTTTAAAGTGTCACAGAACTGCTCACTACAGGTCGTTTTGGAGCAGTCAGAAAACAAAAACTAGAGAAATCTGGCTCTTTTATGTCCATACCCATCTTCCTTATACACCACAAAAGACTCCAAACTCACAACTTTCAAATTTTTACCCTGTCTTTCTTGCCAGTATTGTACAACTGATAGGTAGATTGTGCCAAGAGAATACAAAGCAGATAAGAAAATGCATGAACAATACATTCACAGAAAGGCATTACAGTTGAAGACAAACCAATTATTTGACAAACCATTTCAACAGCTTTAGAAACAGGAGAGAACTACACCAGCTAGTGCCAAATTAGCTAGTACTAACCCTGAGTAGATTAACACCATTTTTGGTCAGAAAAAGCCTTAGCAGAAAGACAGCAGAAGGGGATGTGCTTGTTTAAGAAGGGTTTGGGTCGTGTTACCTTCTTCTGGCGGTAGAGGATTTTCTCCAGCTCCTGTTCTTTGTTGTGCAGTTCCTTTTGGAGCAGGTTACTCCTGTCATGTCTCAGTGCTTCCTGCAAAGGTAAAGATACGAAGCTGTGCATACAACACCCAGCACAGTAAGAGCTGTTTGGTGGCCAGATGAGCCACCACCTCTGCTTTAGACCAAAGGAGGTTTGCCTTTAGCCAAGAGATAGATGAGGTACCTGGCAGACCAGCCTCTCCCTTTCTGCTTTGATCTGTTGTTCCATTTCTTCATAAAGGCACCTGACTTCTCGGTCATGGTCTGACTCCTTCCTACAAAAGGCAGGTGCACACAGGTCAGGAGAGAAAAAGAACACAGAAAGGAAAGAGGAGGGTGGAAATGGATTCCTACTAACATCTGTGTGGCCTTGAGTGGGATTTTAACCAGACCATGTGTTACGGGTGGGCACTGATGCCAAACAAACTCATGGGGATCAGATCAAGATAAAGGGTCATTTTATTACAGCAAGACAAATCTTTACATCCTGTAACCCAGTCTCTCCTTGCATTTGAGGCAGGACCCAAGCATCAGCTTGGCAATGGCCATGATGTTCTCCTTACCGCTTCAGTGCCTGTTCCATGGACTCCTTCTCATGATTCACCTCCTTTATGTACGATGAAACTCGCAATAGAAATTCTTCAAAATTGGATAAGAGCTCCGGACGCTCCTTTCGTAGCCGAGCCCAGAGCTCCCGAATCTCATGTGGACTGGATCAACCATACAAGAGAGAAGGAAAGCAAATGAGTTTCTGTGTCATCTTACGAACTGTTATCCCAACTCCAACATGCACTCAGGACAAACTGCTGTTCTCCTATGATGACCTCCATTACACCATCAGAGCAAAGAGGGAAGTTGGACAGTGACAGAGCACGCATGTGGAGTGGGATCTGCTGCGAGATTAAAATAAAGTTTTAGATTAAAGTTTTTTTAAAGTTTTATTAAAATAAACTTTCTAGAAAGTTCATCCTGGAGTTATTTTTCCCAAGTATTCAGCAATAAGACATTTCATGTCTAAACCAAGACTTGAAGAGATGAATATTCAGCAAATTTCCTGTGAGTTACAGGAACAAACTGTTATAGCTCAGGGATTTTAGCACACATCGCAGGTGTTTTTCTTACACCAGGACTGTACTGGTCCTGCTACTGTCCTTATTTTTTTAAATGGGTTTGGAAACTGAGGCACAAAAAAAGATGCAAATTTGCTTAGGTGCTTAATCAGAATAATAATAGAAGCCCTAGAAGAAGTCTCCTTTTTCTAAACCTGCAGTAACGATTACACTGTTTTGACATTTAATTTCTTGCACCTTCAATGCAGCACTTATAAACTTACTCTTTCTCCAAGAGTCTTATAAGCCTGTAGACATCATTTCATGCTTCTTTTTATGGAAGAAATATTTTGGTTTTTTAAAATCCAAGAAGTACTTCGGGGGAACTGCTTTGAAATATACAGAATAATTACACCTATAGATATTATCCAAATAGATTTTTTTTTTGTATATGTATTTGCCTCCCTTAATATCCTTTGTGAAAAAAGCAAACAAAATAAACAACCAAAAAGCTCTTGATTTCCTCTGCCACCATTGCATGTCAGCCTCCTTTTTCTTTCCCAAGCTGAAAAAGCTGTAGCACTTCATCAAAACTTCGTGTTTTAGATAAAAAACCCATACTGAGTCCTGTTAGTAAATAAAACCATTTCTTTCCTAAGAAAACAGTGAAAATAATTCAGATTTCTGCTCTGACCCCCATTAGCTTCTGTTTTATATTACTTCTTTACAACAGCTGGCTTGCTACAAAGGCATGACATGAAGTAGCTACTGAACTCATTGCATAAAATTGCAAGTAAGTAGTCAAAATAAAACACAGGATAATTCCACTTTAAGACCTGATGCTTCTCAAAGCAGAGTTATAAACAGTAGAGACTGTTTTTCCAGAACAGTTTTCCTTTCACAGTGTCATCCAATTATTTGAGGCATAACAGCTTTCCAGAACGGGAAAAGTTGTTTAGCATTAAAAACGTGCAGGTGCTTTGCATCACAATACAAATGAGACAAAGTGTTTTGTGACAGATGCAACTCTGAAAGCAGCAAATTCCTTCACTCTCAGCTTCGGTCTCCAAGCCTGTCCACCTCCTTCCCTAACCTGGGCTGCTCCCTGCAAACTGGCAACACTGCTGGACTACAATGCCTGAAAAAAATAACTGCCACAGATGCAATTGGCACCTCAGCCCCTGCAGCTGTGCATCAGTAAGAACCAGTTATGCACAGTACTTCTCTTTGGAAAGCCTAAACACAGGCTAGATGACACTGGGGCCAGGACACTCTACTGGGGCCACATGACCACAGCATTAATATCAAGTTTCAAGGCTCAGGTAAGCATCCCTTGCCCAGCTTAGCCTTTCACACTCTTCAAGATCAGCCCAGTCCCAAGCAACAACTTGAGCATAGATTAAACATGGAGACTCTCAGAACTGATTGTCTGAAAATACATAAACAGTCACACATCATTCTGGAACAGACAGCACACTCATCCTCCTTGTCTTGTCTAACCCTCGCATGCTTCTTTTCGCTTGCTGAACTTCCGTGCCACCAAGTGTTATATTTTACAGCTGTGGTATGAACTGGAGTTTGGGAAACGCTTTGTGAAAAGCACTGAGCTAAAAGTAATTGGTAACTGATGAGAAAAGCCAGACCTCACTGCATTTGCTACCAAGCATATGAAAATCCAAGCACTGCTTCAGAGAGCAAGCAGCTCAGTTCACCTCTTTGGTCTGTTCTGGTACTTTGAAGTTTTGGTACTGCAAGATCAAAACAGGGCAACAGTAATGCCACACGACTCCCCTACTTACTCTTCAAACAACTGGGCTGCTCCAAGCTGCTCCATCATGGAACAGAATCGTTTCTCTTCATCGTCATCTCCTGGGTCCAAGTCATCTGACCAGCCTGACTCAAAGGTCTCCTCGTGCCTGGAGTGATCCATTCTCCCAGCCCCTTGACACAATTCAATCCCTATTAACTTCCCTGGTGGAAGGAGAAGGAGAGAAGGAGAATGAAAAAAGTCAAACCGGGTGTCATTTAATAAGCCGCTACTTACATGGCAGCCTGACAGAGCTCCAGGAGCAGCTGCCCACACTCTGCTGGGGCAGAATACAGCTCCTGGTCAGTAAAGAGCCTCCGTTCTGACGTCCGGAGTGATGTCAGCGTCCAGTCTGCAATGCTGGGACTGAAGCTGGCTCCCAGCCCAACGACAGGCTGCCAGGGCTCTGCTCACATCTGTGCGAAGATGATCTATCACCCGCGGCCTTGGATTCTCAGCACGGAAAGCACGTGGCACGAGGTCACTTCACTCCCACGGAGCGGCGCTGTGAGCTCCAGTTGCCAATGATCCCACGTGTTCCCTCTGCACTGCACACCTGGCCCTGAGTAGTACCATGCCTCAGTTCCTCAGCTTAAAAATGAGGAGGAGCTCATTATCCCTCCCTTCTCATGTGCTACATCTATTCTGATTCAAGTGCTACTACAGGACAAGGAGAGCCTCTTGCTAGGATTGTGTAGACTGTCTGAACAGAATGAACTTATCCCTCTGAGCACCTCCTCCTGCCCCATCCCACGTATGGAGGGCTTCCAGTTCTCTGGATTCTGTTTCATGCCGTGACACTAATGCCACGAGAACCTCATGCTATGCAAGGCATGTGACAAACACTGGTGCTGGGAACAACTTCTTCTCAAGAAACAAATCAAGCAGTCCTATCTAAAACACAGGCCCCCATCCTGTATACAGAGGTCATATCTCCATCAGCAGTTACTCTTCCTTTCCAAAATATATCTACTTGGCTCAAAAGGCAGAAATAACATCCCAACTACAAGACCAGGAGTCAAGAATGTTCAGAGCACAGATGAGAACATGAAGCTGCTCTAAGGGGAAAAATATCCATCAGTATTGTACCTCAAGGGACTTAACTCTACCACTTCTTAGCTCCATGCATCCAGAATCGAGCTGCTTCTCTCACACTCTTAAAATGTGATGTAAAAAAACTTGCAGCGTGGAGATACAGGCCCTACTCTGCTTAAAGCCTGATGCTGAGACAGTTAATTAAGCAGAAGGGGTTAGATTAGGCACTTTTGATGTCTGCTTCAAAGACAGAGTCATTATGTCATTATCTTTCTTTTACAGATGGGAAAATTGAGGTAAAGAATGATCTGAAGATTGTTTTGTCATCCTAGAAGGAGCAAGGAGCCCTCTCAAGAAGCAGACTTGATTGCAGCTTGAACAGTTTTCTTTGATTCCCCTCTGTACACTCCATAAGGAATACAGCAATAGGCCAGGCCAAACTCTTGATTTAGGGGCAAAGTCTGAAAAGGATTTCAATTATTCCAGACACAAAAAATGATTGTAAAGAAAAGAAATGCAGAAATTAAGTGTTTTGCCTAGACTGGAATAATTGCCATGGAGTCAGGCTGCCAACACAGGGTGGTACCTTACACAAAGGGAAAACTTGCCTACCTCTACTAGCAATGGCACTGAGGCAGGTGCCCTCATGATGCCAATCTGTGGCCGTGGCTGGGACAAATGCCTCAAACAACAAGATTTGGGAGTAACCAAGTCATAACACAGAGGGCACTATGGATGCCAAGGTGCCCAAATGTTGCCTGTTCACCTTCTACATAGTGCTAGACAAGAAAGCCAAAACTCTTGTGATTACAAACACTTTTTTTGTGATTACAAACAAGATTACTCTTGTTTCTAGCAAAGGCAGCAGAAACAGGTACAGTCAGCAGCCACTCAGTGGTTTAAAACAGTCCCGGAACAGACTGTCCCAAGATACAGCTTTCTGGGTTTATTCAGAGGAAATGTTTGCAACTTCTCCATTCACAGTGGCTGTTTCTGACCATTCAAATTCAAGCACCAAAAGCCCTCCCTCCCAAGTTGTGAGAAAGCCAGGAGCAGCCACAATCTGAGCAATCAGGACAGCAAAATCACTTCTGAAAACCCTAGACCATCTGTGTTCACTTGCTCTGACCCGGTACACTTAACACCTCTACATGTCCAAGGAAGGTGCTAACAGGTACAGATTTTCTGAGGGCTTAAAACCAGCTAAGGCAAATAAGCACCTGTGCTGCTGGGTGAGGACTCTGGTATAGGAGCAGCATTCTCCTAGTGTTTGGAAAAGACAAAAGTAAGGAAAATATAAAAGCTCATTTGGCAGTGTTCTAGCCTACTAACAGGACTCCTACTGATGCTCTTGAACAGCACTGCTACCAGCTGGAGACAGTTGCCAAGGGGCATATTTCTGTTCCTTTATTCAATGAGGGTCCTTATCCAGATGAATAACTGTGGATCAGATAGCCAGATACAGGTTGCAATATGTACCATCTCCAGCAGGTGTTCAGAAGCTGGCTCTACCAGGTAGGCAGGTAACAGTTGTGGAAGAAGGCAACACAAAGCCTCAGGAAGGGGGATAGCTGTATAGCACACCCACCTTCTCCAGTGATACTCACCTGAGCATGGGGAATTGTTCTGCACAGCTGGTGCAGCTTCAGCAGAACCACCGCACTTTCTTTCTTACCAACATAAAACATCATGTCACAGGCGGGCTTTTTCCTTCCTCTGCCTCTGTGCAGTCCTTACCTAGTCCCATGCTGAACTCCACAGGTGTCAGGTATCCCTTATTGTTCTGTTCCAAGCTGTCAAAAACAGTCTCCAGCTGCTGAAGGGTTAGGGGCAGTTCACTCTGGAGCCGCTGCAAAGACATAAGAATGAACAAACTGTAGGCATGACTCAAGTCTTCCCTGTGACTGTCCCTGCCATCCTCAGCTTTGGCTCACAGCAATGTGCCCTTTCAGCACTGCATCCTGTCCAGGATGTGACAGTCTGCCAGTACAGCTGAGTGATGACACAAACACCTGTCTGGAGCCATTGATATGGCGACACTTTCCACTGCTGCATGATTCAACCAGAACCGCAGAGAGGGAATTTCAGGTTATTTTGTTTGGAGGGAGTTCAACCCTCCTCCTCCCCCAATTTAGAACCACTGCCTCTAGTTTGCTGTCTGCCTCCCTACACCCCTGCCCAGAGGTGGCTGCCCCCAGGGCACTGCCAGCCTCCCACAACCACTGCTGCTCCCAAGAGAGCTCTCTGTGGGCACATCAGGTACCAGCTCCATCCCGTTGGCCAGAGAGAGAGGTCAGACTGGTGGGTATCTGGATTCAGTTCCCAGGTCTTGAAGGAAATCTTGCAGATCATAAATTAAATGTTCAGTCCATAACAGCAAGTTAGTTTTCTTCTGTCATATTGTGTCTGCTGGGGCTGTAGTATGACTCCCACAACATGGGCAAGGAGCAGAGTAATTTCCCTTCATAATACATGTGCACCTAGTGTGGAGGAAGGGGACCCAAAGAAACTCCCAAATAACAGAGAGGTGTAGGCTAAAACCTCATAATGTCTGTTAAATGTGCAGCTTTAGATAAAAGCTTAATAAAAATGTATTAATATAACTACAAAAAAGTAAGCTTCACACAACCTCAAACAAAGTGAGTCAATATTTCAAGCAGCATGAACCTGTCAGTGTTAATTACAGATGTAAGGAGAGATGGGACAAGAGAAAAACAATCCACATGTAACCTTCCTTATAAACCTTTAAAAAAAACCTCACTAAGAACACAGAGATTGTGTTAACAAATACTGCTTTTAACAAAAAGGAGCAAAACACATTATTCTAGAGCAAAATTATAGTTCAGGCCTAAAGTGAGTTTTTGAGATGAGGCTTTAGCCATGACTGAGACAAAAAAGTTATACAACTTTTTTTGTTAATAGGTTGGTGCATTGTTCATTGTGTGTTCTTTTGGGGGGTTTTTGTTTGGGTTTTTTTTAATTAAACCAAGATTCTTTCCCCCCATATTTTCCATCCACTGCATGCTTGTTATTTGTAAGAACTGTCGCAATTTTTTTTATTTTATGCATTCCTTAAAAATTTGGAATTGCAGTCCAACTTGTCTCAGGAAGTCCCTGGAGGTGCAAGGCCCTCTTGGAATTTTTGGTTCCTAGCAGCTGGCTGTGGCACAGTTTGGCTCCCGGATATCTGAATGAGACAGAGTCTACAGGCACACCCACACTCACCAAAAGTAAAGACATGGAACATTCTCCCCACTTCTGCCACCCATGACTTTACAGATCCTCCCAGAACAGGGGAAGGATTTTTTTTCTCTCACCTGCATGTCCACCTTAGTGATAAAACCCTTCTCATCCTTGTCACACAGCTGGAAGAGCTCCCTTGCCTTCTCAAGCATCTCCACCTCCACATCTTGCAGTCTACTCGTTTGGCTGGAAGGAGAAACACAAGAAGCCACCTGATCCTCCTCATCCCCTTCCTCTTCTCCTTCCCAGCGGACATATCCCAAGAGCACTCCCCTCTGGTTCTCCATCTTCTCAAAGTCTTTTCCCTCAGGGCATGGGCAAACAGAAGAGCTGTGGGACAGGAAACAGAGAAAACCCTGTCAAACATGACCCTGCAATTCCAACCCACACATGATCTAGTTACATCCTTTGTCAGTTGAAAGAGCAATATTGAGCATCCATATCTGGATTAGATAACCTTTAGAAGACCCTTCCAACCCAAAATATTCCATGCTCATATGAACTGAGCGGAGGGGGTGAAAGGGAGTTTGTGTCAGAGATACACACCACACGTCGGTACACACTGTACACAACATGGGTGTAACTAAGCCTTCCACACACAGTAACCCTCCACTTGTGATGGGCTCCAAACCCTGCACTGAGCAGGGATACTCTTTTGCTATCTCTCCTCCTCTGGGTCAGACCTTCAGGGCAGTGTGAGCTCTTTGCTGGTGAAAGCCAGCTGCCAAAGGAAGGTTTCAGCAGAGAGGAAAGACTGGGAAGATAAATCTGTGTGGGAACACAGTGATAGTCCCACATCAGCTGAGACAGGAGGCTCAAACGCTGCAAGCTGCTTTTGTCTGGTCTTAGTTCCTTTGCTAACAACATGTACTTTTGCTCCTCTTGTTACTTTTCTGCACCACCTTTGAACACCAAACCTGCACATCGAAACTGCAAGAACCCAGAGCACGATAAGAGCAGACAGGAAGGAGTAAGATCTGTGCAAGTAACAGAGGAAAGAGAAGAAGGAATGTTTCTCCCAGCCCTCTCCCACCCAGGTCCTCTTTCTGGCCTTCCACCTCTGACATCTTCTTGTTAACGGTTTCCAAATAATAACTCCAACTTTTTTTATGCTATTACAGCACAAAGAAAGGTCAGACAATTCCTACACTGGGAACTCCTGACCCATTGCCTTCAAGCCTCTGTTTTGGGAGCTCATAAGCTGCCAAACAGAATTTTAATCTGAAATGTTCACCTTTATAGGAAGGAAACCACACAACTATAGAGACATTTCAGAGGCCAAAGAAAATAATTCCCATTAGTTACAAGTACCCAAAGCAAAAAGGGGAGGAATGAGAGCACCCATTTAAGCACAGCACTGTGATTGTAAAGATTTATACAATGCATCCCTACCCCAACCCACCTTCCAGCTTACTGATGCCACGTTAACACCCTCCAGACAGCTTTTCTTCAGCAACACCACCACATTTTTAAAGCCTTTTTGCATGAATTGCTCTAGATTTCTCCTTCTGCAGACCTGTATTCTGCATTGCAGGGCTGAAGTGAGCTGTGCAAACAGGCTGAGAGCAGATTTAAACAGTGCTGGACAAAGAGGGCTTGCGGGTTGGCTTCGTTGGTTTTTTTTTTTTTTTTTTTAATCTCGAAGAAATTAAAAGCCACATACAGATGCCATGATAACAAACAAATTCTGTTTGCACTTCTGGTACAATGGGAGGATAAAGAGCACGATGGCCAGGAAGAATGTCACATGGGAGAACGATATGAAGCTGACACAAAAGGAGAAGGCAATTATGTACCACGCTATTTGACTCTGCTTATTACTGCTGGTTCGTGAGCCAGCGGGTGGTTCTGCTTCAAAGAACAAGCAGAACGCTTCGCTCCCCCTTTCACATCAGTGTTTTTCCAGGACACCTCTGTTTAGTGTCACTTGAGAAGATATTTATGAAACTCTGCAGAAGACTACCTATAAATGGGTACTATTGTATGTTTCTAATCAAGTAGACATTCCTGGCAAGCAATGGACACAGAGCTGGACTCACCCTTTGGGGAATACAGCAGAAGAAAGGAGGGAAGAAAGCAGGAGGAAAAGTAAGGAGGCAGATGGTGTCTTTCTCTCTTGCTCTTTTTCAAACCAACCCTCATACCAGGCATTTTTTGTGTTATGGAGCCAAAATAGTAAAATCTAGAGATTAAAGTTTGATTCTATCTATCAGCTGGACAGTTAGCTTGCTTCTGATGGCAAGTCTGTATGTGTAAGTAGTAAAGAAGTCAGGAAGAACACCAGCTTACTTTTCACATTCAAGCGAAAGATGCGAAGCTGGCTTTGAAAGAAAAAGGGGGGGGAAAAAAAGACCCAAGTATCTTATGCTGCCTAGATTTTACAGGTGATTATGGTGAGGAATAACAGCCACATTGATGAACGATAATTAATGGCTGCTACAGGCCACCTGCCTGAAGTTTATTGCCAGACCCATTCCTTTTGCAAAGATACAGCCTCAGCACAAGCAGCACCCTGTACCAGACAGGGAGCACAGGCGGCAGCAGAGGAGGAAAGAAAAAGGGAGTTCAAAGCAAGAGCCACGGCAGGATTGCTGAAAACAGGCAGAATAAGAAAAGGTACAAGTAAAATATATGTTTTCTGAAATATCCCTCTAGCTGCCTAAGAGACAGAGGCCCCCAGAAGTCAGGATGATCTTACTTTCCTATTATCAGCTTCATCATTTCTATTTCAAAAGCCAGAACAGCCCACGCAGTTGATGTCTCCCCAGCTTTGCTACAGCAAACAAAAGGTGGTACAAGGAGGATGTTCTGTTCTCTCTCCAAGACATTTTTTTGAAGCTGAAATCCAACCCATTACATCTCTACCTCTAGCATTTCCTCACTTTATCAAAAGCCCAGCTGTACTGTAGCTCCCAAACATTGGCTGAGCTAAAAGCCCCTTAATTAGAAGAGCTGGGAGCCTGACATGGACAAAAGTCTGAAAGGACTTTACTCATGTAAAAGACCAAGCCCATTAATTCGTTGTTCAGAGCAGGCAGTCTCTTATCCAAGCTGCTTCAAGTGGCTTCAAGCCAGATGTGGCTTTTTCAATTGTGAGACAGCACTCGTAGAGGAACAAAGCAACGATGGAGAGAGAGCCCCAGTAAGCAAAATACATCGCAACTCTGATGGACTTCTTTCCCAGAAGCCTGTGACTGAGAAGCTCTTCCTCTCTATCCCTGTTTGTAAGGCACTGCATGATGTAAGTGCAGATGAGGCACAAAGCAGATCTCAGTCTAATAAGTGCTGTCATACCTTCTCCAGTTACAATCATCACTGCAAAGTACTGTGGAAGCAGCTTCATCAGCAAGATGCAGAGCATCACTGAAAGACCTCTTTGAAAGAGGCTGAGGTCAGTAGAGTGCCAAAACTGTGGACTGGTATCCAAAAGTGAGGCAAGCAGAGCTGGCTTGGGTGCAGAAGGATCAGCTTGGGAAGAGCCACACTTGCCCGACACAAGCGGTGAAGGCAGAGAAGACAGGTACAGGCAGATAATGCTTTTGGTCAGGCAAACCTGCCAGGCTCTGCCAGCAAGATGATGTCAAACCACCTCCAGTGACAAAGCCAGCGGTTGTAACACAAATTTCCTGACAGAATTAATTTTCCCAGGTCCCTTCTGGCAGGAAAATGCAGTTATATTGAGTCGCCACCAGCTAAGAATTAATTTCCACACCTAGTCTGGAGTGAGGACAACCTCTGCATCTTGGGCTGTTGATTTCCATCACAAAATGTCCACAGTGGGTCATGGCAGAGTTTGTCTAGCCCAGCATCTTGCCCTCGACAATGGCCATGAATGAATGGTGAGGGAAGAATAACAGCAGGGCAAGCAAAGAGAAGACTTTCCTGAAGACACCTGTCAGCTACTAGCCACTGTCAGCCTGGGGCAATTCCCGAGCTACCTTATTCCTTCCTTATCTTCCAAGACACTTGCCCAGCCTCCCTTTGAAACTGTATCGAAACATTCACTGTTCACATGAACATGCTGATAGAAATGCTGTGCCTGCTACAGACAGGGGGTGCTGACAAAGCTTCATGGGACTATTACAGTTTTCTGGGTACGTGGTTTGACCAGCACCAACTCCACGAGATGGAGTCCCAGCGTCAGCTCAAACAAGACTTCTCTGCCACCTTCACATCTGGGAACTGTGTTAGAGACCAAAAAGTCCACTCCCAGGGCCTGGAAGATGGAAGCCCCAGGGACACTGGGGGCACCAATGGGCTCCAATCACCCTGGTCAGCCCCAATGTGTAATGTTCTTCTGCAGCCCCATCTTCTCCCACCCCACAGGTTTGGCTGCTTGTGCTCAAGGTCAGCTCTGATATTGCACAATCCAGATTTGGGCAGTGTCCAACACCTGAACAACCTGATACACAGCTTGAGAGAAAGCCAGGCTTCAGGTCCCATGGGTTACACTGGGTGTCTCCCACCATGGTGTGTGCCGGGGCTCAGCAAGCAAAAATTCACCTGCTCCTGCAACACAACTTTCCCACGGCCTAGAAAGCAAACATTGGTCCTCTCAGACACAGCACAGAACGGGAAGTGGACTGCCATAAAGACAGCTAACACCAGATTTTCTATTTCTGCACTGAAGTAACCCAGACCAATCTTACATGAATATTCTTAACCACCTGAGGCATAAACACAGGTCTGTCCTGTGCAAAACTGTTGCAGAAAGTCAACTGAATCCCAGAGGCTTGGCATTCTTTGGGGAAATCATGAGACCTGAATTTTAATCCTGACTCAGCTGGCCATATGGCCCAGGGTAAGCCATGTCACCTGCCTATGTCTATAGACTGTTAGCCCCTCCAATTTGGTTCCTGATGCTTGTGACAGCTGGCACTTTATTTTAAGACTCAGTTCCTGGAGACTGATAATTACATGTGAAACTCAAGCACCAAAATAGTTTCAAAGACTCGAAACTGAAGAATGAAAAATCTGAACACAGAAACTGCAAATTTCAGCAAACAGAAGAACAGACCCAAGGTACTTTTCCTGGAAAGGGGAAATACTTATTTGAAGGCAGCACTACAGGGTCACAGTTTCCAATTTATTGTCTCGGAAAGCTTCTCGTTGTAGCCACAAGTAGTTTTAAACAGGTAGAGGAAAGTCATGGCTAAAATACTATTGACAGCCAAGCCCTTATCTATGTGACCGTGACCACCATGAGCACATGACAACTTTGGGGTAGGTTTTTTTTTCCACAGCCCAATGACAAGGAGAAAAGGAAAGTGGGGAGCGCAGCCAAATTTTCTACAGCTGGTCCTTAGATGACCCTATTCACCACAGGGCAT